AAAATAAATTAAATTAAATTAAAAATAAAATAAAATATAATGCAATAAAATAATGAAATTAAATTAAATTAAATAAAAAAGTAAAATAAAATAAAAAAAACTTATATACATTTTCTAGTAAAAATTCATTTACTTTCATAGTATGCGTTTTCACATGTTGGATCTTATACTTTTCAATTGTTTCATATCTTACTATTATACCTGCATTAGCCAAAGTTTTGGCTCAATTATAGTATAGCTTGCCACTACTCTAAAATTTAGATTATGTACCCTAAAAATTGGAGTATGTACCCAAAAAAAAGATGCATATCCTATATGACTCCGTCTGGACTAGGTTACACAAAAAAGCATCTTAAACCCTAAAAATAGAGGTCACGTGACATAAAATATACCCTAAAAATGGGGTATATACCTCAAAAAATGGTGTATATATCCCCAAAAAATGAGTATATATTCTATAAAATAGGGTATATACTCTAAAAATTGTATAAAAAAAGGGTATATAATAGTATTATATATATATATGCGCGCGGGTCCCCTGGGATAATTCTGGCCAAAAATTGGTATAATGCTGGTAAAAAGAGGCAACCTATACTATAATTCAGCCCAAAGTTTTAATTGTTGAAGAAGATATATCCACTGCATCTAATAAAAACCCAACCTTTACCTTAACCCCATTAATAAATTTATTATTAAGTTCTGATAAAAAATAGCAAAACAAAACCAATCTTTTTTTATTTTTTTCATTGGTCATATGACTTTTTGTTTGTGAATTAGTTTTAGCAACTAGTTGATCAAAAAAGCCTTTCAAAGATGGTTCAAATTCTTCAAGCATTTTCTTAAATTTTTCTGAGTCAAGAATAGGCTTTTCATTAAATGAATGCTGTCTTGTATATAATACCCCTGCTATTAATTTAATTTTCTTACTAAGAGAAATAAATTCTAAAAACAGTAATTGAAGTAAAATTTAAATTTTAATTTCTTTTTTTATTTATTATTATTATTTTTTTTTGTTTTTTAAATTATTTTTTTATTTAAATATAATTTTCTTACCTAGCTTTGCTTCGTTAAGCTCTGCATAAACTTCATGATATGCAGATTTCAACTCCTGAAATTGAGATTGAGAGTAAATAATATCACTTTGTAATACATAAGACCTACTCTAAAAATTTCCAATATCATTTTTTGAAACTTATTCTATTGGCAGTGGATAGTTAGACGAATTGATATGTTCTGGATCATCATCAGTTTTGTATAAGCAATGTCAACACATTATTGCTTCTTGTGACAGTTCAAAGAAATCGATCAAGCGTTCTGGAGTCTTCCTTAGACTTTTCGCCTTTGTACCTTGCTGAGCTGTAGAAAGATAAAACTGATGTTTTGGATGAAAATATACCTTGTTCGTTTTGGCCTTTTTAGCAGCATTTACAATCAATTTATTGTAATGCTTTCTGCACAGAGCCTTTCCAACCAAATCAAGATGTTGACTGGAGCTTGGTATTAGCACCCGATCAGACACAATAGAAGCCCCGTGCTTCTCATAATCACGGATGACATCTTCTTGGCCTTCTAAATCGCAGTATTGGGCCTTCCTTTTTTGCTGTGCAGACATTTTTACCTTGTACTCTTTTTTCTTAATGCTAGTAATAAAAATGTAAAACAAACGCTTCTTAGCTAACTTCCGAATTACTTAACCGTTACTCGAATTACTTTGATAGTTTATAGATCTGAAGGTATTCTTTCAATTTTTTTTGGTATCTAGCTTCACCAATTCGTATCTGTGGCCACCAAACCATTTTTGTAACTGCGAAACGTTACGCCACTATGTGTAACATTTTGCGTCGATCATCCTATCAAATTAAAGCCCGCTATGTTTGCATATTGTACGTACGTACGTACTTATCTTATTTTCGGAATATTCCTAAAATTGTTCTTCCGAAAATTCTAAAATCCGAAAATACCCCGTGCCAACACTAACCTAGTGTAACGAATCAAACGATGCATATAGAAAAAATGAAAGAAAACATACATGCAAAGAAAATTTGAAAAAGTCTTCGTAACTACACCAAGTCACGGGGTATTATTATTACTAATATTAAATTTAGTATTAAGCCAATCTATGATGATTAATAGAGTTGTTGATTGGTATATTATTTTCTGAGCACTCCGATTTAAACGCAATTCTGAGAGAGATACTTAAGAATGGTCTTAGTCTATATGTGGTTTGATTTCAAACATGGATATATCAATATTAAAAATAAATTATAATTTTAGTAATATGCAGCGATTAAAATTAATAATTTTTTACCCTCTACTTCATTTCTTGCTTCAGGCAAATTGTCAAAATTAATTAATTGGGATTTTTCATTATCATCGACTATAGAATGTTTATCTATTTCTAGAATCTTAACTGGTGATTCTTTTATATATAAAACTCGGAGCTGATTAACTTCCTTTATATCTGGCCGATTTTCCGGGTAGGCATCTCAACATTGTTTCATCGGCATAAAATACCATGATTGTAACATCTTTCGTAATTAATGGTCGAGACCTTTCAAAATTTCAAGAGCCAGTTCAATTTTATTGATAAATGGTATCTTCCTTGATGATACTTCCTACATCAGTATTACTAAACTGTAAATATTCGATTTTTTTTTTGTTGCTGCTTTTTTGTTTAAAACTTTGGAGATATATATGCAAGCTTTCCATAAATGCTGTGTGATTCTATATTTATTGGGCTACAAAAACCAAGATCACAAATATGCCATTCATTATTCACATCTTGAAGTATATTGTCAGAATGTAGGTCTCGCTGAATAAAACCTGAATTATGAATTTCCATAATAGACTTTACAATATTATAAATAATCTTAATTCTTTGTCGTTGGTTAAGATATTGGAGATTTTGTTTCAAATATTTTCGCAAATTACATTTCATATAGTTTAACACCAATATAAAGTTTTTTGGTGTTAGGATCTTTTGTTATTCCATAACATCAAACAACAATTCCTGATATATTGTTTATAAAATTAAAATGTGCCCTGGCCTAGTAAAAAATTTTTTAATAATAAATTACCCAATAAAAAAGACAATCCGGATACGTATTTTGATTATTACTCAATTATTATATCTTCCATTTCTCCATCTTGCCGTAAAAAAATTGTTGCAAAACCCCCTTTGGCTTTTATAATTCATTTTGATTGGTCAATAACTCATATAGATACAGTCATTTTTTTTATATATTAAACGCCAAATTTTTAGATACATATAAACATTAAGGTGCTATAACATTTTAAAATTGTAAATCTATTCGAACAAAATTGTAGCTTTGATAAAAGGCAACAAATCTGTAAGAGGGATTTTTGGTAAAATATTTTGTTCTTGAGTTATAACACTTTTTATATTTTATATATAAATATTGGATGTTTTTTCTGTTTCGCACTGTATAAGTATAATATTAATACGGTCATTATTGTCAGAAACAATAATATGGCGAATACGTTATTTTGTTCAATATTTGATGATTTATATAAATCATCAGGTGCTTTTTCGTATCTACCCATCATTGGATAAAATTTTCTACGTTCATTTAATGCTTTAGTTAAAATTTTAAGTGAATCTTCATAACGGTTCAACTCGTCATAAGTTATTCCACGGTATTTTAACAATAATTTGTAGTCTGCGTCATTTATGATATTTTCCGATAT